TCCTATTTTAAATATGCTCAAATATTGACACTAATAAACCTATTACAGACAATGTCAGTGTTGCATGACTGTTTTAGGTAACCTTCTGTCTCTGAAGAACTGAGGAACATTGATTCCAGCATTTATCAATCAGATCTACCTGACAGCAATACTATCCAGCATCGTTGACTGGAGGTTTCCCATTCCCGTCAAAAGTTAAGTTTACCTGAGTCTGTGACTCTTTGCAGCTGATGACATTCACCAAGGCGACGTGTTTATGTCTGCATTTAACAAGTCCTTCAGCAGAGGTGCTCCTCACTGTCACACTGTGCATCAAACAATGTCAATGATTCTGGGTGAGCTACTAGGTCTCTCGCTTACTGCTCTAATAGCTGTCACCTGCATGCACAAGCTGGGGAAAAGTGAGATCTTTGATGTACATTACAGATATAAAATAATAATGTGCGCTAATATCTACACATAGTTTCTACTGAAAAGTTTAAAAAGTTATTTGTTACTGTGATACTCAAGTACACTCCTCTTTGATGCAAGAAGCTTGTTATCTAGCGGTTTCAACCACTAGAACCGCACATCTCTCTACATTGCTCAGCACAAAATTCACTTGCAGATGTTCCTGCATATTTTGTTAAAGCACAACATAGTAAGGCTTTGATCAGGTAAGATGCTTAAGCAGTAAGTTTAAGCACACAAGTAATTCCAGTGAAGTCCCAAGGATCCATTCACATGCTTAAACCTATGCTCTCTTCGGTAGATCAAAACTTTAAATAATCAGGCTACAGTTTGTAACTCAAACCCTTCTGTACAGATGAACAAGGTAGCTCAAAAATATATTTTAAAAAAGGAAAGTAAGAATATAATAGAAGTCTGGAAAAATATTCTTGCTTGCAGTTAACTGGGAAACAGAATCTTTAAATTAAAAAAAAAAAAAAGAATGACAGCAGAGAAAAAAAAATAAACTGATGTTTTACATTGCCACTCCTGATAAAGACATCGTGTGCCACACCAAGAAAGGAGAAATAGGAACAGAGACTGGTGTTGCTTCCTTTTTACATCCTTTGCAAAAAGACAATAAAAAAAGTCAGACACATCTCGTGTATCAGCATCTGGCTAACAGATTTAGACATCTGTCTACATTGCTGGCAAATTTCTCAAGCCTTTTCAAGTCTCAATAATTAGAGAAGAGACTCATGAATTTGCTACACTGAAAGGACTGTAGCCCTTTGGTACATACTGGCCAATAAAACAAGGTGAGGAATGAGAGAATGTCCATGCACGAAATTTACAAAAATCTCCCCCCTTCAAAGTTAATATCCCAGCAGCTAGTGTTTATCTTTCATGGGGAAGATGAATGCAACAGGGGTAAAACAAAATACGCTTCTAACATGAAAAACAAATCAAAGCAAATCAGCTGCATTGAAATTTGGGAATTGCTGGTATCTGTGTATAAAGGACAAGATTCATAGTCTTGCCATAGCGCTTGACAAAGAGGAAAATAGTCCCCCTAGTGTACTCTTCATGTAGAAAAGTCTGTTTCACAAGATAGTGCTACAAGAAATTACAAAATAACATTCTGGGAAGAGATATGGAATTACTTAAGCAATAGTGAAACCGGGCACCTCTACTATATACATGGGTGTTTCAGTTTTCTATTTCAGGATTATTAAAGTGGAGTGCTGCACCCTAAATATTTGGAGGGTAAAACTTGTTTTTTAAGTCGGCATACTAATTTTGTGACTGCAGGATATCGACAAGGGTAACAGATACTTGAATTCGGAAAGGCGGATAGAGCCGGTCGGTCATTGAGGAGCTCTGTTGAAGTAAGTACCTGGAACAGTCACCTGGCATAGTACATTTCACAAAGGTGAAACCAGCTCACCCTCAGATCATTTCACCACTCCTGTGTTCATAAACATAAATACTGACCCTCCCTAAGTATTCAAGACAGAAGCAGATATTGAAACACCCATCGAAACCCTCCACAGTGGTTTGGAAGTGTACGGGATTACGGGATTCTACTAAACCAGGCTGCCCTGGTACACAGCAGTGTTCAGGGCATGCCAGCTCTACAGCGATGCACCATAAACTACTGCCCCAGTTAGCTGTCAGACACTATTAGGTTAACCAATGTCCCACCGGGGCCAAGGAGAGGGGTGAGCAAAGAAGATTGTTGGGGGGGTGTATTGGGCAAACCTTATCTGAATTAGCGGAAACGTAATATACGCCTTCATAACCACATCTGAAATAGTCACTTCTGCTTTAATGCCCTAGGCAGAAAAAAAAAAAAAGTGATAGTTGTAACTTTCATTTATAGCTCTTAAAATAATTGTTTTGAGGAATATAATCCCAGTTATGTTTACGGATAATGGCATTCAGCACATCTCACTGAAAACAGTATAAATATTTCATATATAATAATACATAAGATAATAAGACCAAGTTCTCCTCTTCCCTTTGTTTAAAATAACATTTTTCCCACTCAGTGCCAGAGCAGAATATCATTAAATGGGTTTGCTGCCTTCAACAACGAACTTAGCTGTGTAAAAATATTCTGAATTAAGACACACACACACAAAAAAGCCTTCTAATACAGAACTATGTTCTGTTCATTTAAAGTCTCAGTGTAACTAGCAATCTGAAAAAGTCTAATGTGAAAAGCTGACAATGGTCTCTGAAAAGCTGTATTCATTACCTGTGAGGGAAACAAAGATGATAATAACAAATAATGTGTTTTAGCATCAGAAGACTAAGATGGAGTCTCTATTTAAGTGTTGCCTCTGCACAAACTAATCTATGTTCCAGCCAAGAAATTGAAATAGTCCTCTTCTCAATGTATATGCATACTTTAAAAGAAACTCTAGCCCTGCCAAGGAATTAAATTTTGCAGTTTTGGATGCCTGGCAAATTACTAGCTCCTGACCTTCCCTTTGCCCCTTCCAGTATGCCCCTACCACCCACGCACAACTGTACCCACAGTTAACACGATCCAGTACCTTACCCTAACTTCCAGAAACAGTTCGCAGTCATTAGAGGCAGAATTTTCTGCTACCACTGTGCTTGCCATCTCCTGAGAAAGGTCATCCTGAAGGCTTGTGAGAAACTTCTGAACTAAATTATATCAGAAGAATCTCAAGGGATCCAAGTTTTTAACATTTTAATTAGCTCCAAGTACCAGTTAATGCTGCTCAGCAAAGGAATCAATATCAAATTAACAGCATAAATTGTCAGAAAAATTGTGACTGTATTAAGGATACTAATCAATGTAAGCACTTCACATTATGGCCCAGATCCTGCTTCTGCTTAAGTGAAAGGGAGTTTTGCCACCAAAATCAGAAGAAACAGTGTGAGCTCCATTGTTCAATGTCGCTGTTTGAATCGGGTATCAAAAATTTACTGAAAATTCAAAGTACCAGATAAAAAGGCTGGATTTGTCATAGCAGCTGACATCTAAAGCCACTGATTCTGCGTGAAATCAAACAACTTATGAAGGCACAGGCTGTCATTGGAAGATGTAACCCTTTATTGCACTCCATGTTGCACTTGTAAAGTCAGATCAAAATCCAGCACCTAACACAGATGCAAAAGCTGCAAAAAGGATCTGTATTTTTAAAAGCCTCGTCTTGAACCAGCTACGCCACCAATAAACTTTGTGTTTACATTTCCCCCAGCCTGAGACAAGTCTGTCAGTGAAATGCTTCCTTTACCGTGCTTCATTTGGGAGGTAAAAATCATACAGCTTCACTTCAATTCCTAACACCAAGTCCTACTCAGGCACCAAATACGAGACAGGGCTGCTAATACAGAACCTGCCTGAAATGTTTCACCTATACAGTATTTGTGACCCATTTGTATACTGTAAGTTATCACCTGGTCCAAAGCTAAAGAGATTCAAAATTGATTTCTCTGTAAAACAACAGAACTTCCTGCCAAATTTGCCTTCAGCCATCCATTCAAAAACTCAGGGACAGATGCTGCCAGTATCGGCCCTCAGCAGCAACTGAATCATACCGGGATTTCCTTCTGCAAACAGTACCGATATCAAGCAGCACCTGCATTTCTGTATAGCTGCAAGTACGTGACATTTCAGCGTCCAACAGACACTAGTAGATGGATATGGAAAAGGAGGAGAAAAAAGCAGTTCTGGAAATCGCTTCAATGTGCTTTACGTGCAGCACCAGCTTCTGGTAGGCCTTATTACACTTTGTCTTGAGGGTAAAACCCTGCCTGCCTGCAACGTGCTTTTGCACGCGGTGAGTAAACAAGCCACAAAAACACTTTTTTTTTTCCTCACTTATTAAAACGGTAGTAATCTCAGCTGCTCACTGTCGCAGTGCTGGACAAAAAATACTGGGCTATCAGTAGACGGTGCCCTCATACACTGGCACTGCAGGAGTCACAAACTAAGCACTCCCGTGGCTGAACAGCCAATAACTCCATGCTTTGATTAACTTTATGAAGAAATGTCAAGACATGAATTTCCTTCTATTGCCTTTGAGGAACGCGTGGGGAAACCATCGGGGTTTAAAAATAACAGAAGTCATTCAGTATTTGAGCTTAGAGACTCAAACTGACCACGCATAAAAGCAACTCTGCTTATTTCCAGCATGAGTTACACCAAAGGTAATTATAACTTTAAAAAAAAAAAAAGAACAAAACCCACACATTTTAAAAATACTTTTCCCCCCTCTCTCTTTCTCTTTCCCTGCTTATGTGCTTGTGCACCAGAGAAGCCAGCTCCGCTCCAGCGTCTCCCCAGCCCCCTGAGTCAGGAGCCCTCACCGCTTGCACATAGCAACAGGAAAGAGACAAAACTTTTCTTACCCCCTCCCTTAAAAAAAGCAAAGGCGACAGGGCGACCACCACCAGCAGGGCCAGCACCAGAGCCTGGCCGGCTGCCGTCGGGGACAGAGCCTAACACCCCGCTCCGCTCCGCATCCTCCGCGGGCAGCGCGCCCGTCGGGGCGGCGCGGCGAGTTCGCCGCGGCCCCGGGATCCCGCCTCACCTTCCAGCCGGCCGAGCTGTTGCTGTCGCCCTTGTCCTTGAAGTAGGGCACGCAGCGGACCATCCAGTCGTAGATCTGGGAGAGGGTGAGGCGCTTCTCCGGGGAGCTCTCGATGGCACGGGTGATGAGGTCCGCGTAGGAGAGGTTGCCCCACGCGTTGCGCCTCGACGAGCACTTCCTCGGCGCCGCCGCCGGGCCCCCGCTCAGCCCCCCGCCGCCCGCCGCCGCCGCTCCCCCCGGCGAGAGGCTCGGCCCCTCCGGGCCGCCTCCGGGCAGCGGGGCCAGCAGCCGCGCCGCCTCCTCCGGCACGGCGGTGGCCGCCGCCGCCGCTTCTCCGCCCGCCGGGGCCGCGCTGCCGACGGTCATGGCCGAGCCGCCCCCCTCCTCCTCGTCGTCCTCCTCCTCGGGGATCATGGAGGCGGCGTCGGCGGTCGGCTCGCCGGCGGGCTTGGCTGGGCTGGCCTGCAGCTCGGGCCTCTGCAGGGGCCAGGTACAGGAGCGGGGGCGGCTCTGCGGCTCGAACTCGGGGTCCAGCTCCACGTCCAGGGGCGAAAGCGGGGCGGGGGGCGACGCCTCTGCCATCTTGGCCTCCCCCGCGGGCGGCTGCGGGGCGCTGCGACGGGGCGGGCGGGTGGCCGCCGACCCCGCTCTTCCTCCGCCGCCTCCTCGGTGCCGACGGGAGCCTAGCAGGCGCGGGGACGCCGGGCGGGCATGCCGCGCTCCGCTAAGGGCTGGCCGGCTCTCCGCTGCGCCCCGAGCCCCGCTCCCCGCGGGCGATGCGCACGCCGGAGCTGCGAGCGGGGAGAGAAAAGGGGAGGGAAAGAAAAAAAAAAAAAAATCAGATTAGGAGCCGGAGCAGCCGCGTAGGGCTGGCAGCGCGGGCCGGGCGGTGCCGGAGGTGCCCGCGGCGCTGCCCTCCGCGCCGGCGGAGCGGCGGCCGCTCCCGCGATGCGTGTGTGCGTTTGTTTATGTTTCACTCCATGCGGATGCAGAAGTAGCTCCAGCAGGAACCGCGCTATATCCAGCCAGGAGAGGACCCCCCCCACGCCCCCGAGCTCGCTCCCCGGCGCTTCCGCAAATATCTTGCCTTTTGGGGGGGTGGTCCTTTGCGCCCTCCCTCGGCAGAAGGGCAGGGAGAGGGGTCCTTCGGATTACGCCGAAGACTTTTTTCTTCTTCAGAACGCCCTAAAGGGAGCCGAAGTCTTAGCATACATCCAACTGCACACTAGCGTAAGCCTGTCACTTTGCGGTGCCCCAAGCCACACGCAAGCAACCCCCAAAAATCTCTCAGCCGACGGAGCAGGGGGCAGGAGAAGGCCACCCCAGGAGCTGGTCGGTTAAAAATAATAATAATAAATCCTTCTTCTCGCAGGGAAAAAGCAAACAGAACGGGAACAAATCGCCAGTCTTCCAACAGGTCCAGAAGCTTTAAGCCCTCCCTAGGGCTGCCAAAGAGAATAGGTTTTGTTCCAGCATCAACACCACATTCATAACCTCCTTGCTCCTGCTGCTGCCATCTTGACAGTTTTTCCCTCCTTCACTTAAGTCATTAAAAAAGCGCAGGCAGACGAGGCAGGGAAAGCCACATCGGGAGGGGCGGGAGGCAGCGGGGGGTGCTGGATCGACAGCCACCTCCACACAGGCAGCAATCGAGATCCGAATTCACGGGAGGAAGAAGCAGTGCTGCTGCATGGTTCCTGCTCCTCCTGCTCCTGCGCCTTCAGCTCCGAAGAGCCTTCCCTTTAAAGGCGAAGGAAGGGAAAACGGCACAGAGCCCGCTCCCCCTGCGAGCAGCCGGCGAGAGGCAAGCGATCCGCCCGCGCCCAGCCCGTCCGCCGCCGCAGCCCGCCCGAGCACCCTGTCACCCTGCTAACCGCCGACTTCCACATCCCTCCTCCTAACAACCACCGGCAGCAACACAAAGTTATAGACACACGCAGGGAGCCTCAACCAAACCGCACGGCACGGCACGGCCCGCCCATGGGCGGGCGGTGCCGCGCAGGAGCCGCCCCGACGGGGCGGGAGCGCCGGGATGGGGGGAGCCGCCGGGGCTGGGCGGGCTGCAGAAGCTGCTGGGACCCGGGGAGGGTAAGGCTTGGCTGCTCGGCGGCCCTGCGGCTCCGGAGCCGTGTCCCGGCCGCGCTGCCCGGCTGGCGGGAAGGCGGCGGTGGAAAGCGCTCAAGCCTCTCCAAGCAAACCCTTTTTAAGAGTTGCATTGCTCCTGTTTCTCTTCTGACTTGTACTCGTCGTAAGTTATTGGTGTACGAGTTATTCTGGTAAATTCGTAATTTTTTGAAAACTTTAATTCCGCCCATAGGTGATACCGGGAGCATGTTCAGACATGTCCACACATGAGCATAATCCCACTGTGCCTCCTCCTCGGAGGCTGTGCCCTAGCAGAAAGCCCTCCAAAGTAGCTCACTCGAAGACATAGTTAATTATGGATTGAATAAAGGGGTGACCCACAAAGACATGGAACATAAAGCTATTAATACAGATGTAGCTATAAATACATTATATTGCAACGTATATGCATCAGTTCTCATCCAGCTTGGTATCGACCTAGAGTGTGGACTAGGTTTAGTCCAACAGTAGCGTTGTCTTTGATACGAGATACAGACAACTGCATGCTTGAGAAACAGGTGTGCTTCTGAAGCATTGCTGGATAGAATTAGGAGGCAAATTTAATTGTTCCTGATGTATTTAGCATTATAGACAAGCAGTGAGATTTGAAAACCATTCAGTTTGAATAGAAAACAGCAAGGCCCTGATCCTGCATGCCTTATATGTCCGGCTAAGTAAGGCCTAAGGCTCTCAGGATCTAGTTAAGTTTTGAATTCAAGTGACACAAGTTAGGAATAGTTTGGCCTGATTTTATTACAAGGGACAGCATTTCAGCATGCATACAATTAATCCTCCATTATCTAAATATAGTAAGAGACACTGAATTAATCAGAATGAATGCAGGTTCAAGTAATGGAAATAATTTTCCATTACTGCAACTCCATTTTGGGTCACAATGTTGTGCCCTGCCATAGCTTTTGTTGTAATGTGGCCCCTTATGGGAATGCAAGGCAGCTCAAAAAGACACCAGCCACTCTGCAACTGTGACACTGACATTGGCATGTATGATTTAGCAGTTGATAGGGAGGAAAACTGCAGTAGCATTGAAGAGTCAGGAACCAAGATCAGATGAGAAGGCACAGTGAGAAGACGCTTAGTCCAATACCACATCTCTGAGAAGCCTCTCCTTGTGGCTTTCAGCAGTTAGCCAGAGAAGGTCAGCTGCAGAACTAAGACTGACTCTCAGCCCTTTCCCAAAACTTGCTGCTGCTTGGGGCTGATTTTGACCAGTGCAGAAACCTCCCCATGGAGTACTTCCTTATGTCCCAAGGTTCCAGAGAAGCCTAGCACTTTGACCTTGGGCTCAATTAGAAGCTGAAAATCTAGTCCTAAATGATATTATCAACTTCATTTATTTATTTATTTAATTGGCATTGCATTACTCTACAGCATTGCTATTAGGTCTCATTGTACAGGGTGAAGGCCCCGCACGTGGTAAGAAATGCTCCACTCCCTGGTAGAACTGCAGTCTAAGTTAGACAGGCCAGGGCGGGAGAAAGGAAATAAGTAAGTAGTAACCCTATTAAAGAGATGGTGGACTGAGGCACCGAGCAATTACATGACTGTGCTGAGGTCATACAGGAAGCCCGTGTCAGAACTGAGAAATAAAACTGGATCACCTGAGTACGAGCCTTGGGCCTTTACGGCAAGATTATCTGCCCTCTTCAGAATTCACTGGTACATCAGTCACACAGTCTTTATCATGTCATGGAACCAGTTCCTCATAGCTCCATGCAGCACGTTATGTGCCCATAACACTGCAGTTTAGAGGTGTAATTAAAACCACAGCATAATTTTTCCTACACATTTTACTTACAAAAAGTGTGTGAGCAAAACAGAAAGACACAGAATCTCCTCTTATGGTTGTTCCACAGCTGGACCCACTGAAATACATATAAAAACTGATCAAAATTCAATCTAAAGCCTGCACAATTTTCAATCTCTTCAAGTATTTTAATGACCCAAGGGTGAGATTTTCAAAAAGGCTCCATTTATGGGAGTTTTATCTCTGACTTAAACAGGAATAAAGTTAGGCCAGCCCTGAGGCCATTTGAAAACCATGCTCGCTTACTGTACCTACTTAGCCTGTGAGTGTTTCAGGGCAGCACTGCCTCTTCCTCTGCATCTCCTTTTATCTACTGTCGCCACTCAAGTTGATGTTGGGAACATGTGTGCCTATCACAGTATCTGATTGCATGGATCTGGCAGGGTCACAGTCACGCTGCAGCTAGAGAAGCTAGATAAGTGCAGGTGACATTTCTGGCTTCACCTCTCTTCTTACACAAATATCTTACTGCAGATAAGCTTATTTCAGGTTGGAGCTGCAGTGGCATAGATGGTAGGAGACTTGGAACTTTTTGTCACTACATTGTTATAGAAATCTTCTGTAAAGTTTAGTATTGCTCAATAAACTGATATTATATTGGAGTTATGTTAAACAGCAGCTGCATTGTCTACGTGGACCTCACACAAACAAGTATATGATAGGTTGTTTTGTAAGGCACCTGCAGCCTGGTCTCTGAGAAGTTCATGTTCCCTGTGATAACCCTGTCTACCCCTCCCACCTACCCTGTGAGAAAGCGGCTCCCTCAATGTATTTTTTATTCTTCCCAGAGCTCCCTGTTACGCCCTTTAAACACAGACTGGGCAAAGGGCAATAGGTTTTGCAGCTGATTCAGAGCAACTTTGTGTGCTGATTAGAAAGAAACATCATCTATAAACTAGCCAGCTTCATACCCTGAGACTTTAACCTTTCTGCCCAATTTGGCTAAAACTGCCTAGCGGGTTCTACAGTTGTTATGGAAAGATTGGCAGAATGGCAGATACAGAGCAAGGGTCTAATTTGTGCCGTGGAAACATGAAGGGTTTGCCAAAGATGGCTACAGAGTTCTGACTATACAATTTTCCTCAAAGTGATGAACAGCAACTTAAAGATCACTTGAAGTTGGACTGCAGCCTGTGAACTGGCTGACTGACCATCATAACAGAAAGGAGGAGAAGGAAGAAAAGTGCAGTAGCAGAAGGAAATGATGACATTACTCTCGTGGAGAAAACAACTCTTTCCTCAGGTGATCTTGACAATTTGGGGACTGAACTCCAGGACTGGAAGCATCCAGCTCTGCATACACCTAAACTTGAGCATCCACTGCTGAAAAATTCTTGACCCATTTCTGCACTGTGTGCAGCACAGAGACTGCAGTCACCCACAAACAGGACCACCTTTCTGGAACAAACCATGTTTACAGTGGCACCTTCAAAAAACCTGGTCAAACAAGGAGCTGTGAAGCTGAGCAAGAAAACTCAACCCTACAGCTTCAAAAATTGTCATTAAAGTGGCCTCATGTCTGCGGAAGCTGCATTGCTTCACAGTCACACCTTGTAGGTTGAGAAAGATTCACCTTCTTGTGGAGAAAAAACAGTGTTTCGCACACTAACAGCCACAGATAGTAGCGCACAACTACGTTACCAGCTCTCTCAGCTTTACTTATGAGACCTGCAGTACCTGGTGCTTTTCTGAAATCCCTCTTCTTAACGTCCCATTGAAGGTGCATCTCAGCTTCTGTTTTATACCAATAGCCAAGTTCCTGACGTGCCATGGATGTGACCCAAGCATACTCTGAGGGCCAGGAAGAAAGGTGGGGAGCAGGGGGAACCAAACACCGAAACACACCTAATTGTGTGTTTTAAAACCTTTTTTTTAAACCTGCCTTTTAAGCTGACATTGCTCAAAAGCTTGCTGCTTCATAATTTTTGAATAGTCAGAGG